GAGGAACTACGGTTGCTCTAATTCCATTCCCGGCAGGATACGTAGGCACGAGATGCGATGTCTTAGCGAGCATACTTTGTACATACTTTATATATGCTTTATATCTTTACCTTAGCACAATCCCTTTAGAAAGCGCACTTTAGTATAACACAAATACTAACAAGAGGTTCCTGTAGAGTACTACAGATAATTAGGATGCTAACACCTTCCCTAGGTATAACCAACCCCCGAACCTTAAATCTCTTAGTTGTGTTGTTATATAACGCACTTAGGGTTTTCTTCAATCTTTACCCTTTCCTTTGGATAAATCAAAGCTTGGTGGTGAACTTCATGATTTGTGATTCAAGTTAATCAATAGCTTGTTATCTGATTCTCACTGCAACGTTGTTCATCAAAGTAAAAGCTCGGAAATTGGAACCATGGCAATAACACATTTTTTTAAAACAAATTGGGCAAGTTTTGGCTTGGTTAATCGATTAACCATTTGCTAGTGAAAAATGGTTAATCGATTAACCCTTGTAATTTGGCAGATTCTGCTGCATTTTTATGACAACAACTTTTCCTCTATTTTTGGGGTTCACTTGGTTCTAGCATTGTGAGGAACATTTTATACATCTCTAGACATTTCAAGACATTTCAAAACACTTCAAGGCATTTGCTACAATACATCATTTCCAATCAAGACCATCATGTAACTTCATTTGCAAGCATGAGAACTGTTGGATTTGGACTTACATTGGGATTGCTCCACTGAGTTAACTAATTAACTAACCGAGTCAACTTCCAACTCAGTGGGTTAAGTGCAACTAACTCCAAGGCTAGTTCTAAAGCAAACTCCAAATGATTAATCGATTAGTTGTGTTGTTTTTCAAAGGTTAATCGATTAACCATTTTGCACTAGCAAATGGTTAATCGATTAACACTTAACCAAAATGTCATTTTTGGACTTTTTCATGCTTGTTTGGTTTTCTTTCCTCATTTAACTTCCATGGCTTGATATGCTTAATATTTAGGGATGTTTTATGAGCTGTATAACCTCTATTTGAAGCATGTATGCTAACTTTCAATGCAAGATTTGTCGATTCTTAATTATTTTCATTTTCGACACTTATATGATCATGATCATTCTGGCACTCTTTTGTTCACATGATAACATTATTAGTGATGTATGCTAATTGATGTTTGTTGCTGCCTTGCAATTTCTTCTTGATTATATTAAGTTTGTTCTTTATTTAAATGAACTTGTTTTCGTTTAATCATTACCTCACACACTCACTTTGATAATCTTTCGACTCACTTGAAAGATTATTGGCTTGTTCATTCCCTTTTGATTGATTAATCGAAACCTTGTTTTGATTAATTGATTTTCCCTCTTTCTTCTCTTTAGGATCCTTTAGAGCCTTATTCTCTTGATCCCTTTGTCATACCGCAAATTTGTCCTACCTCTGTACAAGTTCCGTTCTGTTTATACGCCCATTAACTGCTATTCAAAATCTAAATACATGTCACTTCAGCTTTCAGTTTCTAAGATCAAGTTGTTGCAAATTCATCTAAGGCATCCAACCACGTATATATGTGAGTTCGGAAAGAATTGAAAATTAGTTAAGTCTGACCTGATATTGGTCAGACATGTGTCGTTTCGAGATTAATCAAGATTGCGGTGTGCAGTTCAAATGGTGTGTATTTGAGGTGACAGCTAGAGTTCATGTGCCAATTCAGATGGGTTATGTGTGGATCAAGATGTCAAGTTGTGCTGAGTTCAATGGAGAATTATATGGAGCTTGTGCTTCCCAAATCGAGGATTTCATATCATATGTGTATGGATGAGATTATCAGGCTTTGACAGGACGAGTGCCCCATCAATTATTAGTTCATTTGAATCAAAGTTTTGTATGATATGCTGAAATCCATGTGACATGGCATTCCAATGCATACTTTGTTGCTTGTTCATTTCATGGTGGAAAGGATATTTTATTAGTGCAAGTGATAAAGTCAATAATCAATAGTTCAAAGGTTTCACATAAACAAACTTTCCAAACATGGTTCAAGTTGCAAGATGGGGGTCCAAATCCAAAGTGCAAATTCAACTACAATTCAATAGGCCCGGGTTCATGTTGTTTTTACAAAATACCAAAATAAAATAAAAAACAATGTTATGATCAAAGTGTCATTATTTATAACAAGGGCATTAGAATTTTATTTGCATGTTACAACAAGGCAAATTAAAATACATTATTGCAATTAGAGGCCCATTTGCCACAAATTTAAGGTAAGACCATTTTTTTCTTTTCACAAAGTTAATGAAAGTTAACATAAAGAAAGATAAAAAAAACAAAATTAACTCATGGATTACAACAAGGTCCTGCTATTATACAAAAATATTTGGGCATAAGAATCCATAATTACATTTCCAAGTAATTGATGACCACACATCCAATCTTGAACCACCGTCTCACAAACCATGGGCACCTCATACTCTTTTCTTTTAAACCCAACCATGACAACGCGACGTCTGATGAATTTGCGAAGTGAGGCAAGACCATGATTTTCCAACAATCACACTAAAACCAGATTATCATACCTGCATCATTCCTTTATGAATGACAAAAATAAACGGACACAAGCTTTCTAATATGATATCAGCAACACCCAAGTTTTCTCACGATTCCAAATAACCAAACTGTGACGTAATCATAAAACCTCCATCTCATGTATCGATCTGCAAATCAAACCAACCCCACAAATTGCGCACCAAAACATTAACCTGCAAATAACACCAAAAACTGTCGCGCAGATCTTGCAAGAGTGATTTCGCTGAAAACACATCACGCATAGCCATCACGGAACCATAATTCTCGCATAATACGTACATAATCCCATCCTTATTACACGCAGCTAGTACACAATTACATCCCCACAAAAATCTGCAACAAACCAATTTACAAACAATTTCGACCTGTACAGTACACAGATACCCCACCGAATCACAAACGCAGCAATAAAACCGTTTTTGCACAGCTCATCAAGATTCCCAAAATCCCATCTCAATTCTTCTCTCCATTATACCCTCATAAATCCCTACAAAAACACTGGTTATTCACTCTAAAAAGGGGAGCTCTCAGTAAAAAAAGAGACCCTGATAAACCCTCCTTCTCGCTCCAATATGTTTTCAACCTTCTTCAATAAACCCAATCATCAACAATCCTCCTGAACCAAACTTCATCTCCCTCTTCATTTAGAACAAACCTTCTGCCATTACCTTAACCCACCTCCTTCTTCATTTTTCCAACCACAAAACCCCCACAACCGCAATAACCTTCAAACTACTTCTCCCATTAACAGAGCCAATAAAAAATAGAAAAACAAAACCAAAAAAAGACGAAGAAAGTATAGATCCAAGCACACAACCAAGAGAGAGAAAATTTGAAGCTAGGGATTCAAAACTGTGGATTGAAGCGAATCGAGAGAGAGATTCTGAGACCGGAGCTGAGCAATACATGAAGGTTATTTTTTGATTTTCCATGACCGCCGTGAAAGTTTTCCTTTTTTCCGATTTCGTTTGATTTTTAGTTTATGACGAACGAATTGATTTCTCAGGGTCCATTGGCTTTGCCTTTGTTCTGAGAAAGGGTAAATGCGAAACAATTGAGTGGATGTTTTTTTATTACTCACATTCTGTGGGAAATTTTATTCCATACCCCTACACTAAAAAATATTAGACCAAAATACCCTTGTTTAAATAGTTATAATTTGAAAAAAATTTCACTTTCACTTCATTTGCGTTTCAACTCTTTCGGAGGACTCGTTTTTCACTTGTAAACCGGAACTCTTCCAACAAGTCATCCAAAACACATTTGTTAACCAACACATACCGGAACTCCAAGTGTAAGTCTTCCGGTTTATAGTTTGTTTTGGTTTCTTCACCGGAAGACTTAATGCATGTTTTCCGGTTCATAATATTTTACGTTTGTTCACCGAAAGTCTTTGCTCAAGACTTCCGATTCATGTTTTTTTTTTAATTTTTAATTATATTTATTTATTTATTTATTTTTTAATTTTTAATTTTTAATTATATTTTTTTCCAGTGGTGCGCACACGAGGCCGAGATGGTAGGATCCCTCGTGGACTAGGACGGGGCGAGTCATCGAGAATGGCTGAAGAAGAGCATTTTGATGTATCTGCATCAGCATCTGAGCCTGTTAGATATCTAGGAGGACCGTATGATACATCGCTATTATTTAAGTACGAACATCATGTTGCTGGACATATATGGTTCAGTGAGGTAAGTAAACAAAAATTATTTAATATTGAATAAAATTCGAATTTTTAATATTGAATTTTATAATATATTTACTTTTAATTGTTTTCAGGAGAGAGAATCGAAGAAAGAGTTAAAGGTAGCGGGACAAGGCCTGAAGTTGATTCAGAGGGATCCACTACAGCTACCCAGAGAGATGGAGGGTTGGATATCTAGGTCTGGTCTATCTTCACTCCAGAGAACCAGTTTAACAAAGATAGACACGAACCTAGTTTCCGCCTTTGCAGAGAGATGTCATCTATAGACATCTTCATTTCACATGCCGTTTGGTGAGATGACGATTACTCTAGATGACGTATCTTGCCTACTTCACTTGCCCATCAGGGGAGTTTTCTGGAGCCCTCAAGATATTAGTAAAGCGCTTGCTGTTGAGTGGGCTGTTGATTATTTAGGAGTGTCACGGAGAGTAGCACAACAACAAGTCCGTGAGTGCAGGGGTTCCTACTATAAGTTGGAGTGATTATATGATCTATTCGTAGAGCACAGAGCTGCATCTCGATGGGATTATGCCACTAAAGCTTATTTGCTGATGTTAGTGGGTTCCACTATTTTTACGGACAAGACGTTTACGCTTGTCGAGGCACGATACCTCTCACTATTTATAGACTTGGATGGCTTACCAGGATATAGTTGGGGAGCAGCTGCGTAGATTACTTTTTATAGATATCTCGGAGATGCTTCCATGTTCAGTTGTAAGCAGCTTGGTGGTTATCCGACTCTCCTACAGGTATTTATTTTAATTTAATATATTTTTTTTAATTAATTTTATCTAGTATATTAATTTTATTTATCTAGTTTATTATGGTATAATTAATTATTTTAAATTTAGTAACCATATTAGTTTTGTTACAGTGCTGGATTCATGAGTATTTTCCAACACTTGGGAAAAGAGGAGAGAACTGGATACCAGCTAATAATGTGGGTCTCCCTCGAGCGATGAGATGGTCATATAGGCAAGGTGCCTTGAAGGTGGATGACTTGCGGCCTATTCTGGACGAGCTGACACCTGCCGATGTCATATGACGCCCATTCGAGAATCATAGAGTATGGCGTCAGTTTGATGAGTTATGTCTCTATAGGGGGTGTCTGGGGTGGGGTGACACTATTGTTCCATACTTGCCTGACAAATGTATGTGTCCGTTTGGATACAGGCAGTATGTTCCACATCCACCTCTTGGTTCTCGAATGGCTGGTGATATTGATGTTGACTGGATTAGTTACCATCAGAGCGTTCAGGATATGATTCGTCCGACAGCACCGACCACCACCCCATATGAGATAGATGATGGGTATCTTGAGTGGTATTATCGTGTTTCGCATCCTCGTCTGGTACCACCCAGTGTTGATGCGACAACAGAGATGTCTGTTCCTGTATATGAAGCAGGACCATCTGATCCTATATTGGCTCGTATGTCTGCATTGATTCATCGTTATCTTCAACAGGCTGGTGCTGAAGAGGATGACCCACAGTTTGCTGATTTGTTCGAAGCTTTACATCTTGGTCGATCACAGTGACTTATATTTATATTTATGGTTATATTTTAACTTTTAGACTCATTTGACCTAATTGGTTTATGTTCATGTGTTAACTTTTAGACTCATTTGACCTAGTTGGTTTATGTTTATGTGTTAACTTGTAGCCTGAAATAAAAAATGAATAACATAATTCACGATTCATGTTTTGAAATTAAAAATGAGTAACATAATTCACGATTCATGTTTTGAAATTAAAAATGAGTAACATAATTCACGATTCATGTTTTGAAATTAAAAATGAGTAACATAATTCACGATTCATGTTTTGAAATTAAAAATGAGTAACATAATTCACGATTCATGTTTTGAAATTAAAAATGAGTAACATAATTCACGATTCTTGTTTTGAAATTAAAAATGAGTAACATAATTTATAATTCATAATGCGTTGGTAATATAGGCGTAAGTTGTTGCCAATGTTGTAGACGTCCTGCAAATCCTATCATCCAAGATGTTGCTGCTGGAGAACGAAACTTCTTCCAATCTACTATCACTGGTGGCAATGGAAACCCTTCTTTCATGTTTACCTAAATAAAAAAATAATCACAATATTAAGTAAAAATAACGAAAAAGAATTAGGTTTAATCGCATTATCTAAAAACAACTAAGTACCTGAACCCAATGATTTATGTTTACAAAACCAATGCAGTAAATTGCTACATTAAGTGAAAATGAAGTTGTCATAGGGAAGAAAGTCCAACATTCAATTCCTAAACAGACAAGTACAACATTATAACGATTCACTATCACGTAACCCATATCTGGTAGAGTTAACCATTTATGTGGTGGTTGAGGACCAAATTCCTCTATCATCAAAGATTCTCTCACTACTGCTAACTGATCAGTAAATAAATTGGCATACAAACTTGATCTTTCATTATGTATTATTTCCAACCCCAAGTCTCAATGAACCACTGGCCAACCATCTTCACCATATCCATGCAATGAAGCAATGACTCGAAATCCACAATTACCATCTGATACAACATTAACTACATCATCAATATATGACCTGATGTGATTAGGAAATTGAAGGATGAACTGCTTAGATGACTGTGAAGATTGTGATAATTTCAACTTCTTCGAAGCCTGTGATGGTTGAGATTTACTTTGTGAAGACTGTGATAATTTCAATTTCTTCGAAGTTTGTGATGGTTGAGATTGCATCTGTGAAGATTGAGATGCTTGATCAACATACTCGTGATATGAAGGGTCTCTATAAACATCATATCCTAGTGGTTTTTTGTCTTTCTTCTTGACTCCCCCTTTAGTTTTTATTTTCTCAGGTGGTGGACACATAGAAGTCATTGTAGGGAAGGCAAGTTCAAAAACCCTACTTTTTAATTCCCTTTTCCCAACAACATCTAGTGACTTAAACCTTTTCCATAACTCATCTATTGCACTACTCATATCCACCTCCGATCCATCATCTACGTCTTCGTCCAACTTAACTTCCATACTTAGTTTTCTCCAATGAACATGTACAACATCTATTGGTATCGGTATACCATCAATTCTATATCCTGTCAACTCACAAGCACAAGGTAATCTGTAGGTTGTTCTAAGAGTACAACGACATATTTCTTTGTTAGTTCCAACATAATCAACTCGTTTTAACTCTTCAATAATGCGTCTCAATGCATCTCGAGACACTGAACCACGTAAATTATTGTAAAATGGACTTACGTGGGCGTGCTCAACTTCATAAAAACTCTTTTGAAAAGAAGCTCTAATATTACCCAATTGTAACTTTAAGTTTTCATTCATAGCCTCCCAACATTTGACCATGTCACCAATACTGTTCCCCAACATTTGCTTTAACTTCCAATGAGCAAACTCAACCCTAAAGTTAATACATATTTAAAATATTTTAAAAAAATTCAAAAAAAATATACAATTTAGAAATACTAAAAATAAATACATACCGATTAGTCGTGGTGTTACCCAAATGTAGCACTCGATTAATCCATGCTCCAAAAAATCTTTGTCTATATGGTGTCAACCATGTGTCCTTCACATAATCAATAAATTCATTGCAATCAACACACGCCTGCTCAAGTTGGTTCAACCTTTGATCATACTCAACCTCATCACTAGCCCATACAACATCCGTCCATAATTCGTTAATTTTCTTTTGCATGTCACTAGCCACATATTGTTTCCGTTTTGCACCAACATTCTTGTTAATATGAAATCGACATAGCATATTGGTCGACCTTGGAAACACAATTTCAATGGCTTTCATCAAAGTAAGATCTCTATCTGTCAAAATCACTTGTGGACACAACTCTTTCTTCACAAACAATTGTTTAAGCTTATCTAGCACCCAACAAAAAGTCTCAGTCTGCTCAGACTCAATATAGGCAAATGCAACAGCAAAAGTCAACTCGGTTGATGTCATGCCAACAATTTCAAACAGATGTTGCCTATATTTGTTTGTCTTGTAAGTGATGTCCATAACTAGCACAATAGGAAAAATATTCAACAACTTAACTGAATCTGGATGAGCCCAGAAGATATCTCTAATAACTTCAGAGTCATCTCTTTTTCTACTCCAATAAACATAACCTGCTTCCTCAATAAGCTTAAACAAATGTTGTATCTCACTTCTAGGACCTCTTATATTTTTTTCTATCATACTCTTCTGCTTGTATATTTGCGTGATCCGAGTGACATTATCTAGATCTTGCTCTTGCAATGAAAGCAATATATGTCTAGGTGGAACCTTTCTCTTTGTCAAATCAACAACATGTTGCTTCTGATCCGCTGTCAACCTACCAACAAATGCGTGACCTTCTAATCTATCAGGTAAATCATGGTTATGAACTCCACATTTTATATCAATCTTCCATCCAGATCCATCAGTCGCTGGAATTGATCTGATTCTAAATGGACATCCACATTTTTTCGTCGCACTCTGGTTCCACTATCAATATCTTTGTGTTTTCCTCCTCTATCACATCCAAATATTAATTTGTTACTTCTTCCTCTCTTTCATGTTTCAATATCTGAACGAGTGATGATAACCGTAACTTTATTTCGGATTTCAATCTCTTTAATCCATCATATTACCTCTTCTCGTGTACCAAATCTTTGAGTAGTTGAAAAAATATCAGACGTATCTACGCATATCTGATCTTTATCGCATATTTGTAAAGGAACTTTTGAACGTGCATAAAATTTTTTTAAAAAAAAATTCAAAAAAAATTATAAAAAAAAAGGACAATGCAAACCGGAAGACTCGGAGAAAGAGTTCCGGTAGTCAAAAAACATAAATCGGAAGACTTGTAAAAAGTGTTCCGGTACACTTTTTACAAGTACCATAACTCTTTTTACAAGTCTTCCGGTGAACACCCATGAAAATTCTCAAACCGGAAGTCTTTCATAAAGTCTTCTGGTACATAATTTGTGTGAATCAGAACTCTTTGCCAAAGTCTTCCGGTTTGAGAAAAAAAGCATACCGAAAGTCATTTTGATAGTGTTTCGATAGGTTGTGTGGTGAATTCCTCGGAAGTCTAAAAAATCTGATACGGTAAAAAGTGAAGGAAAAAAAATAAGGATAAAATGGTTTTTTTTTTTAAATTATAGGGGTATGGGTATAAGTGCAGGGGTATAGGGTAAAATCTTCCCGTTTTTGGGGTTGTGGGCTTTCGGAGCCCATTGGTCTTCTTATACTAAACACACTCCTCTTGGATCCACCCACCCGCCTGGTTTTTTTATAATGAATTTCCTCTGTTTTTTCGAAGATGGATAGATGGGCTTAAGGCCCATGAAGCTCCTTGATTTAGCACACCACTCTCATAAACTTATGAAGCTCCTTGATTTATCACACCCCTCCCTTTCTAATTTTAATTCAAATCTTCTCTTGTTTTTGTTAACGACCTCATATTTGTTTATATTCTTGATTTATTTCACTTTTTTAAACAAACTTAATTTTTGCAGAAATTCAATTTTTTTATAGATCTTATATGTTTACTTTATGTTTTAATCGGATTTTCGTTTTTAGGGTCGATGAAGAGACCTCAAAATTGTTTTTCGTCAAATTATTGATGAAAAACAATACATCAGAGACCAATTTTTTCTTTTCACTTTCATTTTTTATTCATTTTTATTCTTTTTAACGTTTTTCGGTCAATGACAAAACTCCAAGAGTTGTTATCGGTCAAATAATTGATAGATGACAATTTATCCGAGACCATCTTCTTTTCTCTTTCAATTTCTCCTTCATTTTTGATTTTTATTTATTTTTCCTCGATCTATGAAGTCTTTCGATTCGTAAGCGTCGATTTATCGAAGTGGATAACCTTCATAATTTCAAATCTATGGAAAATGACCATTTGGGTCATTTTCTCTACTTTGGGATCGTGATAGGCTACCTTCGATTAATCGATATGATGTTTATGATTAAGACGAGATCCCACCTTTTCTTTCGTCCGTGCGACACGATTAAATCGGAGAATGATCCTCAATATCATTTCTCTATCTTG